GACTATGACCATTCTAACTGCCTCCTGTCTCTGTAAACAGCACCATTACCCTGGTTATCCAGGCTTGGGAAATGGATTCAGCCCCTACTCCTGTATCTATTCACAACACTGAATCTTGAGTCTTCCTCTGAAATGGCTCCAGTGTCCACTTATTCCATATTCTGTGGCCATCACCTAAAATCGGTTCTCATAATTTTATGTCTAGATTCCCAAATAGCCTAGCTGATTCACTTTCATTTAGTCAGAGGGCTTCTGAGGTAGGTCTGTTTCAGAGTTCCAAGTCCACTGAGAAACTTACCTAAATCTTCCCTCATTTGTCAAATGAGGACAATATCACTTTCCTTTGAAGGGCTATTGTAAGGAATGAGACACTTCTATAAAATTCTTAGCACAACGTAGGTTAAGAATTCTTGATTTCTGCGAGAGCAAAAATAAACTGTTGGGACCTCATCAAGATTAAAAGCTTCTGCACAGCAAAGGAAACAACCCAGAAAATTAATAGGCAACCAACGGAATGGGAAAAGATAGTTGCAAATGACATATCAGATAAAGGGTTAATATCCAGAATCTATAAGGAACTCACCAAACTACACGCCCGAAAAACAAACAACCCAGTGAAGAAATGGGCAGAAGACATGAACAGACACTTCTCCAAAGAGGACATCCAGATGGCCAACAGACACATGAAACGATGCTCAGCATCCCTCCTCATCAGGGAAATACAAATCAAAACCACACTGAGATACCACCTCACGCCAGTCAGAGTGGCTAAAATGAGCAAATCAGAGAACTCTAGATGCTGGCGAGGATGTGGAGAAACGGGCACCCTCCTACACTGTTGGTGGGAATGTAAACTGGTACAGCCCCTCTGGAAAACAGTGTGGAGGTTCCTCAGGAAACTAACAATAGAACTCCCTTATGACCCAGCAATAGCACTGCTAGGAATTTACCCAAGGGATACAGAAATGCTGAGGCATAGGAGCACATGTACCCCAATGTTCATAGCAGCACTCTCCACAATAGCTAAAACATGGAAAGAGCCTAAGTGTCCATCAACAGATGAATGGATCAAGAAGATGTGGTTTATCTATACCATGGAATACTACATGGCAATGAGAAACAATGAAATCTGGCCATGTGTAGCAACATGGATGGACCTTGAGGGTGTTATGCTGAGCGAAATAAGTCAGGCAGAGAAGGACAAATACCATATGTTTGCACGTATAGGAGGATTAGGAGGAACTTGACGGAGGAACAAGGGGGAGAAGAAGGGCGGAAATGGTGGGGGAAAGGGAGAGAGGCAAACCATGAGAGACTCTTGAATGCTGACAAAAACTGAGGACTGATGGATGTGGGGGGGAGGGGGGATGGGCATGAAGGAGGGCACTTTGGGATGAGCACTGAGTGTTATGTAGAAACTAATTTGACAATAAACTATTTAAAAAAAAAAAAAAAAGAATTCTTGATTTCTGAAAATTTGATTATGAGCCCTTTGAAGCCTGGGACAAGACCTTTCATTCTACTCTATCCCACACACACTTATAAAACATACTGAATATCTGAATAGTTTGACAAAAGCCAAAATAAGAGGTATACTCTTTTTTATAACACAATATTCTTCTTCCCTTAAAAGACTTAAGCTTTGAGAACACAAGATGAAGGCAGCTTTAAAAGCTATTCTGAAATAAAAAGCAGTTTGGGAAATTATGTGATATGTCCATTAAGAAAATAATACACTTGACATCCGAGTAAGCAATGCTCTTTTGCGAGAGCTGCCCTTAGAACATCAAGATGCCCTTGCAAACAGGAGAACACAAAGTGAAACGAGCCAAGTGTGGCCCTACTTTCCTGTGTAGCCTTACCCCTCCTCCAGTTTGGGTTGGACTGCCTTGGGCTCAGGCGATCCTACCGGCTTTGGGGAGCTCAGAAAGCCCAAAACGGAGCCTACAGAAAGAGGAAAAAAGAGAGCTGGCTACTAAGGGCTGGCCCTAGGCACAAATGGTTTATAAAAAAGTGTCAAGATTTTCTAACTAGGATGGAAAATATAGTCCGACAATGGGCTTTCATAGGGCAAGTAAACCTATGTGAAGAATTATTTGGGTATTTTAGGCAGGTGTTTCTGGAACATGTCAGGTAAATGTAGCTGAGACAGCCGGGGAGCATCTTTGCCAACCACTTCCACATCAGCCAGTCCCTGCTCACCAGGGTCAGGAAGGTTGAGGGTCTCAGTGTGGATGCCGACGCTGAGGTAAACAGTGCATATTCTTGGAAAATACGGTTAAAGGGGTCTTCTCATATCATATGGCTCGAGTACAAATCAGCACAATCATTTGGAAAAGTGACATGAGGCAAAAACTACAAAAGTGTTCATATTCTGGACCCAGAAATTCCACCTCTAGTAATTCATCCTAAGGAAATGATTTATGCAGACATTCGCTGTAACTTTAGGAGATGCAATCTAAACTGCCCATGGGGAAACGTTCTACGAATCAAGGCACATCCATACAATGGAATTTCATGCAATTAACAAAAGTTGATAGTTTTTAATGATATGTAGACTGAGGAAAAAACCAAGATACAAATTATACCAAGAATGAATAAAACTATGTAAAAACATGTACAAGTAGCAAAGAGATTGGCAAGAATATGCAAAAATATCAAAGTGCTTTTTTCCCCCTGGGTGATGTAATACAAGCAAATATTATTTTTCTTTGTAAGTCTTCGTATTGTCCAAAATTTCCACAATGAGCATATATTATTGACATAAACAAAAAATTATTGAATCAAGGATTAAAGAAGAATGGGCATTTTTATATAGCTTTATTTGTTCTGCCAGGAAGTGGAGTGTGGCTCCTAATAACAAAAATGGGGCTTACAAACCAGTCATTCATTTGACAGGAGTATCAGTCTCTTAAAAAAAAAAAAAAAAAAAGGCAGATAAATTTTAAATCATTTTTCCCGTTTCACCATATTCGTGTAGAACTGCAGCAGAAAAGATGGTGAAGCAGGCTGAGGTGCAATCACTGATCTTAATGAAAATAAACTCCAACAGCATGTGGCTCCAGGGCCACAAGACACATCAGACCCAAGTTTAAATGGCATTTTTCAAAATGGAAAACAAACAAACAAACAGGAAAACAAGTGTTTACTTTAAAAAAAAAAAAAAGGAAAAAAGTAAAGAGTTAAGTGCTTTGGTACCAACTGGGGGCTAGAGAGAAATAAAAAGCATATTTGAGAATTAAACTAATGTTTTGTAAAAATTAAATTTCCTGAAAAAGACAAAATGTAACTAATGAATACTTATTAGCAGAAAAAAACCAAACAAGTGTCCAGGACTGGTCTGAAGGCACAATGCCTGCAAGGTCTAATCTCAAAGTCAAAACAGTCTCTCTGTTGAACACCATTCCACCTAAAGTCCAACATTTTAATCTTTCTTCAAACTCCTTAAGATTTTACCCGAGAGAAAACTTGTTTTACACCAAGAGTTATATGGTTCAACATACTTACAACCCTCGCCTAATCACAGGATTTTCATCCCAGCTTTCCTGAAGCACATTAAAAGATAAATGCCACATAACCTGAATTTAGCTCTATTATTTTCACTTATAATTATCCTATGACACGTCAAGTATTTTTACCTTCTGGGCAGAAATGGAAATAAAATCCTAAAGCAGCTCGCCTAAGGGTCAGAAAGTTAGTGGATGCAAGCAGAGCTTAGCAGTAAAGCTATATTCAGCACTGCTTACAGTGTCAAGAGTCACCAAAGCCAAGAAAAGCCTGTAACATTTCTATATATGAATAAAGATCAAAACTACAGGTTGCCGCAGTGTAAGCGGAGACTAGAAGCTGCAGTTCTTTTCCTGCAAGATACTCCACATAATCACTAGTTGGCTGACATCTAAGTAACAGCTAACACAACCTTTGCTGAAACTGTATTACACTTGGTTAAGCAGAAATCTGGGCAAGCAAAATAAACTGCTAACAAGTCAGGGTCTCAGTAAAAGTATTTGGTGACCATACTAAAAAAACAAAAAGCAACAACAACAAAAAAAAAAAAAAAAGAGAAAGAAAAAGAAAAAAAGAAACTATAATGGCTTAATGATCATGCTGTTATCATAAGGCAAAAGCATAAAGTACTCACCTTCAAAGATACATACTAAAAGCCCAATTTTAAGATTATAAACTTAAAAATGTATTTTCAAAAACATTAGTCACCTGTATAAATTAAAATTTTATATGTAATTTCAGTGTAAAGCACCAAAAATGAACACTAAAGCTGTTCTCATAAAATAGTAAAAGGAAACAAAGCACAACTATAAAAGCACAGAGGTACTGGTTACAAGAACCAAGTAAATAAACGAACTTCTACGAATATTTCCATTTATCTTATAAAACTCTGTAAACAGGGGAGGGGGAGTCTAAGGATCTACAGAGTAGCAAAATGGTAACAAATATACATCATTTATTTATTAACAAATTATACCACACAAATACGTTTTCTAGCTGATTACAGAGTGAACAGAAACTGCATCTGTATTTCGAGCAGCAACAGAAAATTTTACCAGGAAGAAATTCCCTATCTGGACCAAAGGACTGTAACACGGACTGGAGAGCTGATGACTAAGAAGGTAAAATGGCCACCACAGCGCAACCAGGGCAGGGAGACGCAGGTTTGTTTCCACGCTTTTAATGGGAAGCAGTTCTCCAAACCGGGTAACACATTAAGTAAAGGGATGATGTAGCCAAAGGGGGATGATATAAGAAAATCACATGAAATCAAATCTGTTTACAAAGAGAGCAGTGGCCCTGAAAACTTAAGGAGGTGTTAAGAAACAAAAACAAACAACATCAACAACAACAAAACAAACCCAAGCAGCACCGACAAGTCTGCTTCCCAGAGTTACATCAATCCTGAAGTAATGCCACGGTGTCCCTATTCTACCTGATGGGGGGAGACTCTTCATCTGGGCACTTTGGTTTGAGAAATCAGTTAGATTAAGTCATTTTTAAAAAGGGTTTTATTTTTAAAATAGATACAGTTAGGGAGAGAAAGCTAAACATGAAGTATTAATTCCTTGAGAACTCAAAAATTTAGGAAGCCAAATTTAACAAAGGGAAATAGAAAATGGGGATAGAAATGTTCCTCTAAGTGTAAAACTCCATCCTGATTTAAAAACAAGCCCACTCTAAATGAGTGGTTTTCAAAGTGGGCTACAAACCCATCTTCCCCAAACCTTCCTTACTCAAATTCAAACAAAACATTTCTAATTGTTTGTCCTTCATGGTATCAGTTAAGACTGCCTTTTTTAAAAAGTGAAAGGAAATCTGATGCAGTACCCATGCTTTGCTATTGTTTGTGTTTCCCTTAAGTTTGAAAATCATCACAGACGCTGAAATTATAACTGGTAAGAAATAAGACCAGGGTCCTATAACATATTTGCATTCTTAGTGTTAGTAAAATCTGAAAACTTTCAAAGATTTGTATATTATTCTACAAAACAAATAAGCAAAAGAAGTTCCTAGGAAAAGAAACTCTGTTATTCCCGTCTCCCCCAAATCTGGTCTTTTGCTGCCTCAAAGCTCTCAATGTTTCTGATCAGTGTGAACAAAATCCTAATGAACATTCTAGCCACATGTTACTCCAAAAACATTTCACTCAACATTTAACGGCTGCATAGAATTTCTTTTTCGAGAAGGCAAGCCCAATTTTATAGATATCTCTAGAATGAGCATGTACAATTACCAAAAATAACACACGCTCTGTCAGGGCAGAATCTGCATAGTGTTCTTCAGCACTATCACTGAGAAAGAGCAGTCAAATCCCAGAATTTCCCTCTGCAACTGCTAGCAAACAACATCAGAGTGTCAGTGACAACCAGAGAAAAATACATAACACTAGCCATTTTTCTTTGATGGCATCAGGAACAAAAGAGAACTGCAGGAAGAACAGAGGAACCCAAGCTCTGGCCACTTATCAGCGTTTCATAACTTCAATGAAATGGAACAAATCTCCGTGGAAAGGACTCATTCAGCAAACATGACTTCCTTCCATGTATTTTTCCTTCACATCAGGTTAAACAAAACTTGCTATCATTTTAGAATCACTGATTACATCTTTTTAGTTAGAAAAAAAGTTTACTTGAATATTTACATAATTTTATTGCTGTTTATTACAACAAAAAAATTTGTAACTGATGTGTACGCAGAATCCATCCAGTAACACATGAAACTGAAATCCATCTCTCGAGAAGATACAGTTATGGCCGAATGTATCTGATGCTCAGAGTATAGCATGAATAAGAAAAATTCTTGCATGTCATTTGGTTCTTGCTGTAGTCATCTGTGTCCATCTCAGAAAGCAAAAGAATCCATTTGACGTTTCAATAAATATCAAAGTAACTGTTACAAAAAAAAAAAATAGCTTCCACGGACCAGAGATCCAAGAAAGAACAGTTTTGATGAATGATTCCTAGAATCGAGGGAGTCCTCCTTTAGTCCAATGAGATGATGTCAGGAATGTTACTTCCACTGCTGGTTATGACCCCTGTCTCACTCCTGCTGCTGGATGAACTAACATGAGTACTGCTTTCATGGGGGCTGGTGGTGGTGACAGACGTACTGCTTGCTGTTAAGGGTGAGGTGAGACTATCCAAAAACATAGGAGGACAGTACTGCTTGAAACAAACAATGATGCCGATGAGGAAGAGGCTACATTGGTTTTAAATAAAGAGACTAGAAATTGTTAGATATGCATAAGTGATAGCCACATATTTAAATCCCAGTGGGATTTAGAATTTCTCAAAACTTTACATCTTCGGATGGAAGGTGGTCTGAATTTAGCTACTTTACTGTTTAGTGAGTGCACCATATTTCTGATCCTCTGAAATCTTGCAGAATTTGTAGACCAAGTATACAGGTATAAGCACAAAATGTCAATCATAATTAAAATTATTTAATAGTAAATATTGGCCCTCCCATTATGACTCATACTTAACCTCAAAAAGAATTTGCTCACTAAATGCATTTACACCCGGTTTAAATCACATCATAAAGGCTAACAAATATTAGCAAAAATGCTAATACAAAATTCAATAATGCTTTCAATATTTAGTATCAATCAGACTCTTTAGGAAGAATTTTAAGACTGATCAACTCGACAGTATCATTTGAATCCTTTGGACCTAGATGAAATGATAGCTGTGTAATCAAGAGGAGAGCATTCATTCTAAAACAGAGACCATAAGGTAGCGGACTACCGCAGGATGCTCAGAACAGAGTTATCCCATGTAATCACAAAATCCTGGAATAAATCTTAATGCAGATCTAATCTTCCTTGTGGGACTTGATACCCCCACTTCAAGAATTCATATTTCAAGTTTCCTTACCATCTTTTGATCACTGACTCTCAAATTCAAATCTGAGTTCTTAAAACTCCAATATTGTCCAAGAGTAGAGAGACAAGAGCTAACAGCTTTATGTCGCCACAAAAATATTTTATGTGAGAAACAGCAGCACTGATTTTAGTAAAATAAGTGAAGACCCATTATATACAAGAGGAGGAGTCTAAAAATGTGTCTTTAGATCGACTATTTGAAAAAAGATCTGTAAGATTATTCAATCAATGTTATCAATTCTATAAAGTATTCCAGCCTATCACTAGAGACACTAGGTTACCAAACAGCAATTTAAAACTGAAGTTTTTTCTACTACTTGATCTTCTAAAAAAAATCTTAAAATGGCAACAACAGCCTCAGGCTTAAGCTGCCAATCAGTCGAAGACCAACGACTAAAATTTAGGCTGCCTGACAAAAAAAGTAGTTTGCTGTTTAGGATGGATAATCGTCTTGGTTTATCAATAAAATAAATGCATACACAAAGATCAAAGGGATATCGGTTAAGGGGGGAGAGCTTCTCAGTACCTCTAAAGAGAGTAGACTTCTAAGGCATTAACCTTCTTTAAAATCGAATCAATTCTAATTTTAGACTAAACAATCTGGAAAAAAGCCCAGAAACTTACATTTTATATTTTCTCTCAGGCAGGTTCTGACTGCCTAGTAGTAAAAAGGTACTTACTCTCTTCAATTATAAGATGAATGCTGGATACCACAATCCTACTATCAATAGGCCCTACGAATTCTTGTCATACTCAGGTTGCAGCCATTTTGCCTCTAACTGTGTAACCATCATGTGGAACGGCACATATCTGCGCAAAGATAACAGGGCCTAAGGGGGTACTATGGAGGTAAAGGAGGGCAAATCTAAGGATTTTAAGGAAAACAGAAGGCACAACCTTACCCTTCTACTACTGCCTTATCAAATAAGTTAGCCTGACACTAAGCATGCCAAATAGCACTATGAAATCAAAATCCTTTGGGTTCTAAGATCATTTTTTATAAGGATGATTCTCTCATAAGACTGAGTAATGTATTTCAAGCCTGAAGAATCCATCTCCTAGAAAGATATAGATACTTTTGCTATAGAATCTACTTATGTAACAAAGTCACCTCAGGGCGAGAAGAAATTCCTCACTCTGAACATGTTACCCTGGGCCCAAATTTCCAGTGCTGTTTGCGTGGTCAGAAACAGAGTACGGACACACGAGGCCAGTAGAAGACTTGAAGTTAGTGGCCTCTGCAGCCTATGAAGCAGTGGTCTGTGGGTCTTTCTCGAGGCCCTCCCTACTCATAACAATTCTCTCAAAGTCTCTCTCTGCTTCACTTTCCCCATCTGCTTTCCCCATGCCTTTCTCCTCTCCCTCTGTTCCTTCTGCCTCTGATATATATGCCTGCCAGTCCACATTTACTGCGAAGTCTTCCTACTGGGACTCTGGGATCCTCAAGTTTCTTAATGCTGACAGAGAAAACCGGAATGATCGATTTATAGCAACTTTAGATTGGGGGCATCCCCAAAGTCTGTATCTGACAGCCTTTAAAAACAAGGAAGAATCAAGCTAATGATTCAAGTCTGTTGCATCAGCTTTTGCTAATTTCTACACATAGAAGGAGTGCTTCACAGATGAGCTCGGTGAAATTTTAACTTCTAGTCATTAGCACTGCTTCCCCTCACTTTAATCATCTAATGCTTGTAAAAATGCTGATTATAAAAACTAAATATAACTAAAAACTCAGGTATTAAGTCAAAGTATCATCAATTTAAAAAAACAGCAGCTTTAGTCCTCCAAATAAAATTGTGAAATATTTATATAGTAATTCCTTTCCATCAAGTTAAGTAACTGCAAGTTGACTGTCCTGATTTTATGCAACTGGTCATTTTTATTTTTAGTTAGTATGACATAACCAACAATCAAATACAAATTAGTTGCTTAAATTCAGGATACATACCTGGGGATCAACTGGAATAAGGGAAAGAAAATCCAAACCTAAAACAAAAATGCTTTGTTAATAGTTGTCTCATATTTTGGAGACAAGAATTATTTCCCCAAATCATTTTGTATTTATCATGAGTCACAGAACATTTGGGGTAAATGCTTACCATTCTGCCACAGAGAAGTTCAGTACCATGATCAGTGAGATTTTAAATGCATAAAATCCCAAAATGAACATATTCCCTCACAAAACAACTGGAAAAACCACCTCCCAGAGACTTAAAGGGAGCAGTCCAAAAATGTTCAGAGGAGGACTAATCAAAACCAACTTTTCCCCTTCACCACTTAACATAATGAGAAGCAATAAAAATGATGAGAGAATGATCTGGATTCGGACCATAAAAAAAAAAAAAAACATACTTAGGCTCTTAAAAGATACTTCACATTTATTTTTTAGAAATACACCAACCACATTGAGCTTCAACTAAAGCAACACTTCTTAAACAGAGATCTGTTTCATGGGTTGCTCTCTGTCACTCTGTCCCCACATCAAGACTAGGACACAGTTCAACACTCTGCACAAAGCAAGCACCTGGTTAACTGCTGCTCGCTAACAGGCCAAATCTTAGTAAGGTTTACTGAGTTCTAAGATAATGCAGTTTTCTGAACCAAAGATCTGGTATTCTCCAATTATGCTTTAGAAACAGGAATGTGGAAAAGGCTGCCCAGTAATACCATTTTCAAGTATTAAAATTGTAACAATAAATAATAAAAGTTTTCAGGCATGTAAAGTCTAGCAATAAACCTCAAAGTCAATTCACCTAAAGCTCTCTAAATTTCAAAACATTAAAAAAAATTACATACTAGATATAGGTCAGTGAGACAAGCCAATTTCTAGCTCAATTCTATGAATTTTTATATGCCAGCATTCAATGTCACCTCAAACATAACGATCATACAGAATACAAGTCTGATATTAGACTGTTAGTCAAAATAGAGAATATCTGTGGAAATATTTAATAACCAATATGAATAATTTATAACTCTTTTAAAGTATATTTATTCCTTTATAATCTCTAAGGATATGATAAAAATGCTTATCAAGTGATACAAGCTATAGCACCAATCATTTGAATGGAATCAGTTTCTCAAGCATTTTAAAAAACTGTTAATATGATTTTTCACTCCATATGCCTGTCAGTGGTGTACGATACAATGGGGTTTGAGCCAAAACTGGACAAAGGGGATCACAATGAACTTTTCCAATGACTTCCTCATTAAACCGTTACTCACTAGATGACATATGGCAATAAGCCAAGAGTTTCTCTTCACATTAATATTGTTCTGTAAATCCTGTGCTTCTGTTAAAGAGTAGCTCAAAATCGTCTAGCCCTTAAGTACCTTTTGAATTTTATATAGTCAACATTTCTTATTATTGACTAAGTCACAAAGACAGTTTATTGGCATGTCCTTTAATTGACTTAATTTTATTAATTTGGTTTTGCTTCAAATGGTGTAACATTTTTCTTTTTATAATAGCTTCTGCTTTTTATAGCTTACTTAATTTTATATGTTCAATCACTTTTAATGTCTGTTGAATCACTCAGTCCATTCGAATAACTTAACCTTTTTTTTAACAGAGCTAAGGAAGTAATAATATCTCTTGCAATACTGTGTATTGAAGCCAATCACTCAAAAATGCTCATTTTCTAAATGTTTAACTATTCCACTTAAGTAACCAATTTAAGTAACTATACAGGCTTAATATAATTTTCAAACGGTTTGTGCAGCTCCAGCACTGGAGGCTACCCAGCAAGGTGCATAGATTCTTCATTTTTTCATTATTTCAATTCTCAGCTCTTCAGATGTACTCTAATTCTCTTTGATGATCATTTCATGTGTGCCAGTCAATATATACTGATAGAGATTTCAGACACTTCTTTGATCTGTATCTTTTGACACCTTACCCAAAGATAAAGGAATATGGTGACTTATAAAATGCCAAAATAAAACACCTAGAAATGTTTCTAAGTTTGATTAAACTTGACTTTCTCCCTAGCATTACACAGATGCTCTCTATACAAAAATCCAACGTTCTAATGAAATACTTCTCACTGAAACCATTTTTTCTCAAACACTAATGATGAAGTTTGATATAGTATTTCAGATGTTATTCCTTCTGACAAAAAAACACTTTAAACTATTATCAAAGTCTTGCATTTTACATTTTAAGTATACTATTAAAACTCTACATGAAATAGATGAAGTTTCATAATTACTGATTAAAACATTACTGCCATGTTTTATAAGTTTAGTAAAATGCTGTTTTCTTATTTCACCATCTTCAACTGCAATATGTTGTACTGATATATTTCTATGCCCACCTAAGTATTTTATGGGTGAAAATGCTCTATTATTTTTAACTAAAAGCAGGTAGTGTTAAAAAAAAATTCTGATGGTACATTCTAAATATTTTATTAACACTGATAAAACTGTAGTTTTTAGATTTTAAATGCTTCTTTATGTGAAACTCACTCTACAGGTCTTATTAATAACACCACATTTTCCTTACTTGAGCCATGAACTTTAACAAAACAGGATTAAGTATGTAAATGTTTAGCACTTTCCAACTTAAATGATACAACTTTTGAGCACCATTCGCACCTGACAATATGGCACTAGCAATAATAAGGCAGTCATATTTTTTTCTTGCAATAATCAAGCTGTTTTCCATTCCATAAATACAAATTTTTTGTTTTATTTTGTAATTCATTGTTGCACAGTATCAGAAGATGTTCCAAGCTGCAGTTCATTATTAATATCATTTCTTCTTTGTTCTCCTGCAGATTCAGAAGATTCATGTTTATGATGTTTAAAAGGAATGTTAAGGAATGTTAAGAAATGTATTAAAATTCTGTCATCTCTCCATTCTTGATGTTCTATTTAATATTTTATTATAAATTGTTAAATTTATAAATATCAAAATTCTGCACAGTAAGACTAATTACATAAAAATTATGCACAAAAATAAAACCAAAATAAGTGCTAACTACAAAAGAGCACATTAACAATAAGACAAAGTAAAAACTAAACTATTTAGATGCAGTAATTACTACATAATTCATAGATGACGACAAACTGGTAATTCTTCTGAAGTACAACAGACCCTATTCTGTTCAATTTATCAAATGGTAAGAAAGCAGGTCCATGTTCTAATAACCAGTGTCACCATCCTAGTTCACACTCACTAAATATCAACCCTGCATATCAGTCTTAGTTCCTTAACACCAGCTTGAAATGTAGTTTACAAAATACACAGTTAACATAACTTATTGCTTCTTACCTCTGCACTTTCTATAAAGTAAATAGTCTCCCTTTATGGGCAAACTTTGAAATAATGTCAATTCCCAAAATTAAAAATTCATCCAGACTCACATAATTTGAAAACAACAGAGCAAACGATCAGTAAATTGTGGCTATTCTACTCCTAAATGGCCAGGGCTGCTTTAGTGAACAAAAAGTTTTTTTCAGGATTATTTCTTATTCAAGGTCTTTAGGAAAACCGATCCTTCTGGTTGCTTGTTTATAACACATACGAAGATGATACACAGAAGCTCTTCAACCTCCTTTAAAACTAGCCAAGGTTAAAGGAAACCTTGGCAGTTAGGAATTAAGTATCTCTGAGTTTCCATCAGTCTTATGGACCATGAAACTTCCGCTATACCTTAGCATCAAGCTGTGTATACAACAAATATTTTTTAATTGGTGCCGGCTGGACTTCACAATGTTTAAAATGCCAATTCCCCAAGTACATATGGAGTAAACATAGTTAAGTAGGTTTTTTGAAATTTTTTTAATAGACACTATTATTAGTCTATTCTTCTGTATTAAATTTTACTCACATAAGCTGAATAAATTTCAAGTGGTAAGATTACACTGGGCCAGATACCACCCAACTATCAAGTGTTCCAACAACACAAATTTCGCCCACCAGAACATATACTGTGCTTAAAAAACCCTCGTTAAGAGGGATATGAAAAATAAATTGTAAGTCAAAACTAACTTTACAATCTAGAAAAGAAAATTATTAACAGGAAGAGAGAACTGTATTCCACTAAAAGGGCCCCTCAGAAAAGAAGGAAAGTCATGAATATGAGAGGCACTGGCTTCAGCTTGCTCAAATTTGATTGACAAAAAATGCCTACAAAAACAATGGTTATAGAGGGAAGAAAAGTTGGGGGGGGGGGCCTGTGGGGGAGTTCCAAATTTTATAATATGGCCTTGGTTCTAAGGTTATTCAAGCAGCCTTGACTTTTTCAAAAGATATCCCTAAATATTAAGCAGTGCCCAAAGGAAAGAGTTGGTAGATCCTACTTTTACAGAGCAAAAAAACCCCACAGGGTAAAGCCACTGATAATGTAAACCCCATCGTACACCAGCACCTTCTAAAGCTGTGATGGGCTACCAAGAAGATTATGAGAAAACTACCGAATCTGTGAAGCTTCTATGATAAAGACAGTGTCTCTACATACAAATTCCTCATGAGGGAGGGTAAACCCTATAAAATTTTCCTACCGACCTACTGTATTTTCTATCATCAGCAATCTACAGGTTGCTCTGTAGTTAAAATGACAGGAAATGAATGTGATATATTAAGCAGATACTACCTTTCTTTGAAGGGTTCAAATTTCCCTAGTATTTCTGTTTAACACTACAACTGCTCCACCGGTTAAGAGTAAAAATAAATAAAACTTGGTAACAAAATAAAACAACTCTTCACATACCTGGCAAATCTGATGACATGCTTGATATTGGCGTGTGGTGGAATGGTACTGAGTAGTCTGTTAATGAAGGCGGAATAGCAGCAGGATCAACCGAAGTCACACTGGGCACCCTTACAGAGGATGGCTGATACATGAGAACCCTGTTTTAAATAGCATGGGAAATTACAAACAATCTGGCTGTTAGTTCACAGGAGAGAAGGGCTGCACCACTGGGCATTCTCAGTCCTAAGTGCACTACGTTTCAATGCAACTACATGGCGGCTACTCACTACACAGTATTCCACTCTACTCTCCTCTTTCATAACAGTCTTCATTTTAACATGAACATATGATGGCTCTCAACAGCAGCTGTGATGTAAGAGCAAGCTGGCATTAAAACATAACGTACAATGCTAGAGGAAAAGATAAAACTTTCATCCACAAACAGAAGTATATTTTACATTTGCTTTTATTAATGTCTGTGTAACACAGATGTGGATATTAGTAATTGTATCTATAAAGAAACTTAGAGGGGCACCTGGGTGGCTCAGTTGGTTAAATGTCTGACTCTTGATTTCGGCTCAGGTCATGATCTCGCAGGTGGTAAGATCATGCCCCACATCGGGCTCTGCGCTGACAGTGTAGAGCCTGCTTGGGATTCTCTCTCTCTCCCTCTTTTTCTGCACCTCCTTTGCTTTCACTCACTCACTCTCTCTTGCTCTCAAAATAAATAAACTTAGAAAGAGAGAGGGAGAGAGGGAGAGAGAGAGGGAGGGGAGGAGGAAGGAGAGAGAGGGAAGAAAGAAAAGAAAAAGAAAGGAACGGAGGAAGGGAGGGAGGGAGGGAAAGAAAGAAAATAGAGGCCACCTAAGATTGGATTTAAATCATGGCACCTTTATAAGTGAAGCTATTTACTATATATAGTTCAACCAGAATTTCTTCCATTCTAACTTGAACTGTGTTAATTACTAGCAATCTTATCTGAGAATCACCTGAGGCAAGATCGCAACTCCTAAAGCCAGCCAACCTGGCAGCAATCAAAAATTAAAACGATGTCTCAAGATTTAAGATAAAATATCCAGAAATAAAAGTTATGTTACTATGATACCATCTACTCTAAGAAGGTTTAGACTTTGAAATTAAGTACTAAGAATACAAATTAAATATCCTTAAAAAATATATAATTGGTTATACACACACACACACACACACACACACACATAATTACAGATTTTAATTTCAAGAAGCAGTTTAATTAATCATGTTTTTTAAATATTCAGGAATAAAGAGATGATTTTTCATTCTTCCTATTTAATTCTCATTTTCTCTTAGCCCAGCTTAAACAATTAGAACCTTACAAGAAACTAGAAGCAATGTGATGGACCCTATGGCTGATAGTGGCATGCCATCCCTTTTGGCCATCATCTTGGTGAGGCTGCCGTGGTAGCAGCTGCTCTCTTGAGCTTCCTGATGCCACCCAAGGATGACAAGAAGAAAACAGCTGCAGGAAAATCAGACAAGAATGGCAAAGACCCACTGAACAAATCTGGGGGCAAGTCCAAAGGCAAAGTTTGGGATCTAAGATCAATAACCTGGTCTTGACTGACAAAGCCATATATGACAAACTCTGTAAGGAAGTTCCCATCTCTAACAACAGCTGCTGTCTCTAAGAAATTGACGATTTGTAATTCCCTGGCGAGGGTAGCCCCCTTCAGGAGCTCCTTGGTAAAGGACTCATTAAACTTCAAAACATAGAGTTCAAGTGATTTACACCAGAAACACCAAGGTGGAGATGCCCCACTGCTAGTAAAGAGGCATATACAGGTTCCACCAGCTGTACATTTTGAAAAATATAACCTTGTTAACTACAAAAAAAGGAGAGGGGGCAGGGACACTCATGTTAGCATCCCAAAGCACCGCCAGTGAACTATTTACTGTAAACTTCATGAGAGAGGCACAGAATTACGTAGCTGGAAGGGACCCTTACAAAAATGAAGACAGTGCAGCCAACAGAAACGTAAGACCATGGTCACAAAGCTAGACCAAGAGAACAGCGAGGACCTCTAGGCGTCCTTTCCTTTGGTTGAAATTCTTGTCACTGCTCAGATTATTAAATAAAAGTGGTAAGAACTGATGACATGGTTGCATGTCACTTTTCATACTGTAAACAACTGACAAAAAGTTCATGACTTCAATTTAAATCTCAAGCCATTTAAATAATCACAACCTATTTAGACACTGGAGTCACTCTATAACTAGTCTGCATGATGACACGAGGATCTTGTCCAGTCTTGCTCTACACTATCTGTCAAAAATATGGACGTCACTGGAAATGTGGAAAAGGAAGTCATCTTCAGAGTACATATATGGATATGTTGGTGACTGTGTTATTCTCAGAATAATGAATAAATAACATAGGTTAGAGTTCAAAAGTCTAAAAAATGGATCCACAGGAAACAGAATATGCTTGAGACAATTAACAGAAGCCCAGTACTTCAAACACATCTTCCAGAGGTAGATGAAGATGGCAGTCACCATCCAAACAGCAACCTACCTAACTTAGAATCAGAAGGCTTTCTTGGTCTCCAATGTTACCTAGAGACCTAAAACCACAAGCAGGAGGTGAGCAATACTAGAAAAGGCAGATTCTGTGGAGGGGTAAAGAACGAACTGGGGATGAGATCAAGTAAGTTATGTTGTATTAAAACACATCTTCTCCTAGAGTTTTGAAAACAGTGGTCCTCTACAGGGATGAAAGTACAGCTGGTAATCACCAAAAGCATTTTCAAATTACTTGTGATCCTACCTCCAACACGGGAATACGTATCTGAAACCGGGGGGCGGGTACAGAGGGTAATGAGTAGATAGACTGTATGCTCATGCTGAGGAAGGAGTTAAAAAAGTGGCTCTGATTATTCTGGCTATCTCACAGTATTAGTATCTTAATCATATTTTTTAATGTATGAGATAAGCTTTTGAAGACACACACACACACACACACACACACACACAGATACGACACACATGTACATGTCTGCACCTACGTTCCTCTAGCTCCCCCTTCTCTTTCTTTCACATCTCATGCTGGAAAGTGTCTTTTGTCTTGATCCTGAACTGACCCCTGAACGTGAATCAGATTTACAGGAGACAGCATCAAAACTCCCTTTCCTCCCTGACCCCATCAGTTACACCTGTAGTGTCAAGTCAGTGCCCCAACCCACTATTATCACAGTAACATCTAAGTACTGCATAGGTTCTGCTCTCATAACATGAAACTTTAAATGGTTAAGTAACTACTCCTGGTTTCTCCAATACAAAATGCTGACTGTCACAACATGTGAAAATGTCAAAATCTAATGAAGGTACAAATTATTAGATCAGCATCTAAAACCTCAGCAAACATCTGAAAACTATTTAATGTAGATTAATTTCTATTACCTGAACTTTGCAACCATTAACACAAATTCAATTTTCACAGAATGCGTAAATTAGTCATTTGCTACCATTATTAAATTAGGCACTGGTAGCAGATCATGGTTTTAATCAGAATATTCACAAAGACAACATTCAGAAAGGTAAAGGGTTCTAATGTCTATACACATTAGAATACAAATATACAAAAAAAGATGCATTTATAAATATGGAATAATAGGGACCATTGAGAAATGTAAATGGCTATATCTGATGGAACTGTGGGTATAAAAATGTGATGCTATAAATTACAAGAAAAATTTTAAAGTTTGTATCATGTTAATGGCTCCTCATGGGACTGGCCAATATATACACAGGCATAATATATACCTAATGTATACATATGCCTGTGTATATAAATACATATTTGAAATTTTTGTAGCTTTATCTGTAACATCACAGCACAAAGATATATAGCTGGAACACTGCTGGAGAGCCAAATATTAGTATTCTAGAATGTGTATTGGATCACTGAATTCATCATAAGTGACCGACATGGAGATGTCTGAAAATGAGATGTTGAATATTTACCCATAAAACTGAAATTCCCTGTATGTGCCCACTTTATCATACAAACAATTTTGCTACCAATTCCTAATGAGAAATACATATTTATCTCTATTCTAGTCTATTTCTGTCTTTAGAATACCTAAATTTTTAATGACAAAGCAATCATTCAATGGTTTAGGGAATGGGGTAGGGTATGATATTTAAGATTATCTTTCAATGTAGAAAAATATCAGAGTTTCTCTAAAAGTCTTAAATTAAGGTGTCAGCCTCTTCTAATTGGTACTGTATGACTGCATTTACGGACCACAGTAGGTATGTAAGAAGAGAGGCTAAAAGGATTACCATCAAAATATTAAAGAGAAATTATGTCTAGGTGGAATGCATTCTACTTCTTGATGCACTGTAAAATTGTTTTTAAGGGTAATTTTTACTAAAACAATATCTTTTAAAAAATAACTGTTCACATGATCTCTGGAATATAACTGAAGGCAAGTTTTCCTGCTTTCTTGTCTCTGTTCTTTCTCATCTGCTTACTATTACTGACCAAGAAGTCCTATGATAAACTTCTACAGCAAAGGAGAACTATGAGAATTTTGGATGCTGAGCCGCAAGACAGAATATGAAAAGGATGACCAGGAACAAAACCAGAAAAGCATTAAGACTTGGAAAGGATTACAGAGGTCACATAACCATAGCATAAGTTTGGATCCATGACACCCACAGGACAGGTGGCATCCACTCTACCTCAACACAAAAAATGTGATTTTAGTATAAAACAACAACAGGAAACAACAATAGGAAATATTGTTCAGCTCCAATGGAAAAGTCTTTCCATGTATCTTTTCCTCCACTGGACTTAGATCTTCCCAAATGTTATAACAAAGAATAAACTTAATCCTCTTAATCAATGATTCCCTTTTAAGAATTAGAAGATATTCACACATTCACATATTCTCTCGTCCTGGCTTAACAGCTTCAGTCCTTAGACCCATTCATCCAACATGATACAATCTGCTCGATTTACCAGCTGTCTCATCTTCTGATGAGCAACACTAAGATGGTATGAAGTGAAAATCATTTAGACTTAAACAGAATAAAACTAGTGAAGGTATATATCCTGGACACTATGCTTCCTTCATTAATGTAGCTTAAGAATAAGTCAGCTTCAGAGTGGTAAACCCTTCAAATCACTGTGAATTCTAACATTTCAAAGAGTTTCTATCAGGAATGGCTATTAATGAACTAAATACCTTTCTAGTCATCCTTATGAGAAGATCCATTTTATCAAGTATTTCCTAATAATAAAGCATTCCTGAATGTGCCCTACTTTGTCCTAAGGATGGGTACTGTTTGAATATACAATTAAACGATTTCCTAAGAGTAAAGTCAGAACACACATTGATTTTTCTAATGTGAGCCAGCTTCATTCTGTATGGTTATTAATGTATAAATCTCACTTGAGTACTAGGAATTATGTTGACTTTATGGAATGAGCTGGGTAGCTGCAACTCATAGATTTTTTAAAGCAAAACACACAGAGTATAAGTCCATTTATGTAAAATGTGTAGAACAGGCAAATTCATACAGATGGAAAGAAGATCAACAGTTGCCTAGTTGGGGGTATGAATGGGGATTAACTGCAAATGAACATGAAAGAAGTTTCCTAGGTGTTGGAAATACTCTACAACTGAATCATGATGATGACTGGACAACTCTTTGAATTTATCACAATCAATGAACCGGGCAACTTAACAATTAAGATGGGAAATTTTTATGGTATATAAATAATGACCCAGTAAAGTCGTTAGAAAAAATAAGTGCACTGAGAGGCCCAAAGGACAAGATTGGCACACCCAAATCTGAAACAATATGTTCAAGGATTGTCAAGGAAACCCTCTGCTACTTCCTTGCAGGTCCCAAAATTTTTTAGAAGCACCTATTGCTAAATATTCAGACCTGTCACTATACAGGACAGTACCAGCTTCTACCAGATGAATCATAAAAATTACATGCTAGAATGCATTTACTTGCCCATAGTTTGCCCTGGAGAGGATGAAAAGGGAAGGCAATCAATTTAACTCTTTCATTATCTTACTGAAACCTGAAAATAATTTTATGAGGTAGGTATAATTTCACCCCATTTTACAGAACAGAAAAAGAGGCTCAAACAAGTATTTCATTCAAGATCACAGAACGAGCAAGCAATGGTGTCAAAATTAGAATCCGCACTTGTCAGATTCCCAATTCCACACTCCATTTTACACCAGGCTTCCTCATGTTGGTCTGTGATGCCAAATTTACTCCTTACAAATAAGTTCAAGAAAATGACAAAAAGGATCAAATATGAAATACTTAGACATGAGAAGACTTGAGCTCTTACTTCCCAAAGATGTAAATAATTTCATCAAACTTTTCTTTCCTTTAAACAATGTGCTCTCGTGAAAAGGTTTCAGCTGCACAAAGGCATATTAAAATAGGCTTCTATGGTTATGCAACTCCCAAAGAGACATTTACAAACCTATACCAAGAACAGTTAGTTCCAAGTGTAATAAACAATAGTGAACTATAAATTAACAAACCCTTTGGTTGGGCTGCTTTGTGTTTCTGACATAAAGATGCATTTCCTTTTGGCAGGAGGGTCTTCCTCTTCATCAGAAGAACTTTCTATTGTTAGGTCAATAACATCCACTTTCTTCTTGCTTGTCTCATTGGCTACAGTCACTGAACAAGGCTTACTGAGGACACTTGAACCTTATGTAGGGAAGAGAAGGAAAACGAAAAAAAAAATCAAAGGTACAATACACATCCAGGAGAATATACAGCCAGTAAAAAGCCACGCAATCTGTCCGATGGATGGAGACTAACTCCTCAACTCTGGACATCTGTCTGTAAAATGACTGCTTACCTGGGAACATGGGTGAGCTCTATGCCATGCCGGACAGTCAAAGCCTCCTTCGGACAGCATGCTTTTAGCTATCTCCCCAGTACTGCCAAAAAATCTGCTCAGATCCTGCTACTCATGCTGTCTCCCAAGGTAAGCAGTCATTTTATAGACATCCTGGGGTGAGGGGTCTAATCTCAAGCCACAGACAAGAGTATACGGCTTTACTAGCTGTGTATTCTCACAGATGTGTGTCAGTGTTGAGTCAGAATCAGGCACTTCCATTACAGCAAAGTGGTACCCATGTCAAAGAATGTACAGGCCTCTCACTATAAGCCAGAAATAGATAAAAATTTTCACCTTGATGAACTGAAAAAACTCCAAACTTCTCATTTAAGTTATTCAGACACTTAAAGCGTTTCTTACCAACTATCTACTAATCACTTAGGTTCTCCTTTCTGGCCACATATACCATATGTTAACTCACCATTTCATAGAAATTACATTATGCCCTATAATTCTGCTTAACGGAAAACTAATGCTGGCTGGTAACGGAAAGGCAGCAGCAACTAATCAACTAAATCACTATTCTTCTCAAAGATGAGGGAAACCTCGATCATTCTACCTATAGGTTCAGTAATAATCAGAGGAGAATGATTTTTTTAAAGTAGGTTCCATGCCCAAGGTGGGGCGTACTCACAACCCTGAGATCAAAAGTCACGTTTTACCAACTGAGCCAGCCAAGTGCCCCAAAAGAATGACTAATATTGACATAAATCTTTTACTTTTTACTCTGAATACCCACTATTCATTATATAGTTAGAATGTCAAATATATCAACACAAAACTCAAATGCAGTGAGTGGACAATGTCAGATAAAAAGAAATTTTAAGTTCACCTATGGGTTCAATTACTGTAACTGTCCCTTAGTTTCCCCACTCAGTGTGGGTGGATATAGGGAGTTGAGGGCTGAGTATACATCCTAGGTAACCAGCGCAATGGTCAAATTCCTTCCCACAAAGAAACAGAAACAACCTGTTCACTCTTTTAGCAACTAACCTATAAGCACCCGCTTCCACCCTCCACTGATGGATTATGTAGCCTCTCTAAGGAACTTGGGGTTCCCCTAAAAGTTTCAAAAGATTCTGAAAAACTGTCCATAAAAATGTCATTTATAACTTTTCATTTTGTAACAAACACATTATATTAAAATGACTTGGGGTGATTGTTTCATTTACTTTATATATGAAAAATATACTACAAAAAAGCTAATTATAAGATGATATATACTTTACCACATTTTTTAAGGAAAGAGTAAAAATCGTTTGGGGGAAATTACATATGTAACAAACAATAAAAAGATACAGTTCACAAACTAAGCTCCAAATGCAGTTCTAGGGGCCAACGTTAACGATAAAGACAGCGGTGCAGAGGTCTCATTGCTTTGCTCTCCGCGGCCATCCTGCACATACTTTCTATTTTTGTACACGGCTGGCTGGACACTTTCATAGCTTCTTTCTTCGGTCTCATCGGACACCAAGTGCCATCTTCCTGGAATTTGATCTCATCCACATCAGAACAGTCATTGAGAATTTCCATAAAAAGCCTATAGACCAATTAAGAAGTGCGTAAATGTAATCAATGACTTTGTTCAAAGGTGAACTAAGTAACATACTGCCTTAGAGACAAAAATAATGCTATGACTTTTTTTCTGTTTTGGTGTTTTAATACTTCACACTTTACAACAGCTATTATACAACCCCCTTCCCCTCCTAGGTTTTAGATCTTTAAGGGGTTTACGGAGTACCATCTAAGAAATCAGTGATGAAACAGATACCTGGAGCCTCCTATTTGGGATTGGCAGTAAAGAGCAACCCCCAGCACAACATATAAAACAAACATAAGCAAATATAAAGGTTATTATCTAAAAATAATTTATAAGCTTATTATCAAGAAGAAAATATCATAGGGTGGGGAAACGAGCATCAGGGACATTAAAAAGTCTCAATACATTTAAAAGAACTCAGCATACAAATTATGTTCTATGACCATAATGAAATTTGAATCATCTTCAGAAAAATATGTGGGAAATGCCAAAATATTTGGAAATAAACAAAACCACCAATGAGACAAAGAAAACATAAAAACATAAATTAGAAAATATTTTGAACTGAATATGAAACTATAATAAAATTTGTAGATTATAGTTAAAGCAGTACTTGAAGGAAAATTTATAGCATTAATCTTATATTAGGAAAGGACTCCAATCAAAACTCAGCTTCTACCTAAATGAAACTAGAGAGTAAATTAAAATGAAAGTACACACAAAAAGGAAAATAACAAAGAAGAGAAACAAATGAAAGAGAAAAAGAGGAAAATCAATGAAAACAAAAAGCTGACAACCTTCAATAAAACTGACAACCTTCTGGTCAGACTGAAGTTCACTCAAAAAGAAATAGATCACCCAAGGAACCCCACATATATTAAAAGAAATTGAATTTGTAATTAAAAACTTTACTACAAAGAAAACCCCAGTCCCACCCATCTTCACTAGGCGATTCTACCAAACATTTGAGGAGACAAAATACCACCACTTCCCAACTCATTTGTATGAGGCCAGCATTACTGTAGTATTAAAACCAAAGACATTACAAGAGAGGAACAGGCAAATATCCCTCATGAATGTAGCAGAACAAACCCAACAATAAAAAGGCTAACACGATGCTAGACTAGAAGTTACATGAGGCTGTAATGAATGTTTACACAGCTAACATGCTGGGTTATACTTACCCATCTAAAATTAGACTTTCATAGGCAGCCTTTTTGTCACACACAGGACAAATCCAGGTGGGCTTCTTCTCATTCATTTGCAGATAAAGGGCAGCATCAAAACACTGTAGATGTGTACAAGTCACTGCACGGCATGGGATCGTTAGCCTCATCTTCCCTAGCTACAGGAAGGGAAGATAACAAAGGAAGCCTTTTAGAAAGGAGACAAAGCCTCAAAGGCAAGAGTCAGTCATAAAACTCTGAAAAACTTCTCACAAGAAGATCAAAATGAAAAAGAAATTCAAACCAGAACTTATTTCCAATCAAGATCACTACATATATTATTTGTGTTCACTCACTGCCCTATGACTTTTAAAAGCCCATTTCAGGGGCACCTGGGTGGCTCAGTAGGTTAAGCCTCTGACTCTTAATTTCAACTCAGGTCATGATCTCACAGTTCATGAATTCAAGCCCCACACTGGCTCTTTGCTGACAGCATGGAGCCTATCTGGAATTCTCTCTCTACCTGGCTCTCTGCCTCTTCCCTGTTTGCACTCTCTCTCAAAATAAATAAATGTTTGAAAAAATACATAAAAGCCCATTTCACTTTTTGAAAATAGTTAGCATGTAAATTCACAGGTTAAAAAAATATATATACAACAAAAGCCTCTTTCTCACCTGTTACCCTGTTTAGAGGGAACCATTACCACCCACCTCTTGCATGTTCTTTCATAGATATTCTATGTATAACCAAGTGTGTATTTTTAAAAATCATTTTCCCAGAAATGGTGGCAAGCAGTACACACAATTCTGTACCATCTGTTCACATAATATAACTTAATAATTATTTCATATATATCAGTACATAAAAAGCTACCATGATACGAAGATCTCATAATTGATGTGAAGTGTATGATACAATTATTTATTTAACCAGGACCCTCCCCTAGTGATGGACATTTAAATTGTTTCCAATCTTTTATCACTACAAATGATGCTGCAGTAAATATCTATAGGATAAACTCCGAGAAGTGTATTTTTGGGTCAAGGGAAAGGGCATTTGTGATTTGTGTCACACTAACAAACTGCAATGATTTATGCGTGTATGTGCATTAATGAGCTGGGTTCCCTCGACTTTGTCAATATAGTGCTATTAATTCGCTTCAATCTCTGCCAATCTGATAGGTGAAAAATACTTCATTGTAATTGTGAACTACATTCCTGTATTTCAAGTGGAGCTTCTTTTTACTTCTTTTTTATTTTTAGAGAGTGAGCCAGTATGCAAGCAGGGCAGGGAGAGGGGAGAGGGGGAGAGGGGGAGAGGGGGAGAGGGGGAGAGGGAGAGAGAGAGAGAGAGAGAGAGAGAGAGAGAGAGAGAGAGTCTTAAGCAGGTTTCATGCTCAGCGCAGAGCCCAATACAGAGCTTGAGCCCACGACGCTGGGATCACAACCTGAGCTAAAATCTACTGACCTAGCCAGGTACCCTGTTCTTTTTTACTAAGAGTCATTTGTGTTTCCAAGAACTGCCTATTCATAACCTTTTCTCACTTCTGGTTGGTTATTAGTCTTCGGTTATCTATCTACTTTATATTAAGTCAGCCTTGTGTATGTGATATGAATTGCAAATATATTTTTTATTTATGAAAATTTTTTACTTGTGTATAATCACATGTGCTGATATTCCAATATACTTTTATATAATTCAGTGTTCTGTTCAATTCTTATTCCAACCAGGTGAGGTACACCAACATCAGAAAATATCTCAGTTTATGACCAGCTCTGTGTTACTCTGATAGAAAATCTGTTTCTCCCACCATGGACTCTAAACTCTGCAAGGACAAGGCCCACGTCACAGTTCACCACTGTCATCCCAGTGTCACAGCACAGTGCCTAGCATGCAGCATATGCGCAGCATTTGCTGACCAGATGGTGGAACAAATGGAGAAAGACTGGGAAAGTGGCATAGGGAACAAAGGGGAGAAAAGGGCAGAAGGAAGGACTTCTTTATACGCACTCTCAAGTCTAGAAGTATTCAAAGCAAAATTACGCTGGTAACTCTGCCTGAGGGGTAGGATTTTCAGAATGTTCCTGTTTGTTTTTTTTCCCTTTCGGTTTACCCATAATTTCTTTCTCCTAAAATGAACATTTGGTTATTTTGTAATTAAAAAGAAAGTAACATAGCCAAGTCATCATCACAGCCATAACTAATGTCTGTATAGTTCTACTTACATGCAAGGCACAATGCTGAGTGTATTTATCAATCTTAGTGACTTTATATTTAAACCTAACAACCACACTATATGATCGATGTGTATTATCATCCCCCCTGAGAACACTGAGGCACAAAGAAGGTAAGTAATGATGACCATTACAAAGTCAGAAAGTGGCAGGGCCAATGTGTGTCCCAAGCGGTTGTGGCTCCAGAGTCCACACTCCTGACTCCATGAATGTCTAGCCAGAATTCTAAAAGGGAGCTTAGATTTGTGCAAGTATGTAGCACAAATAGCCCATTACTTAAGACAGAAAAAAAAGTGAGAACAGAACCTGAGGCAATTTCTCTTATGACACTTGCTAGGTTTTCCCTTCCTTTAATAATAAATTATCCCTTAAGTGATACAGAATCTTACTGTGTGTTAAGGATTTTTACATAAACTTGACATAATTTTCATGACAACCCTATGACTCCAGAAAGCCTAGTACCTCTATTTCTGCTTTTGAAATGAAGATGCTGAGGCTACGTGAGACTACAAACACCACACTCACGGAGACACAGTTGCCGGAGCTAGAACACAAACCCAAGTGTTTTTCACTTCTGTGAGAACTCTCGTACTTTTATAACGTCACACATGGTCCTGGTTCTTGGTTTTAATTATCGATCTTTCCCAATTTTGCTAAGAGTTTTTGTTCTGTTAGGAATGGATTCAGCACCTAATGAGATGATCATAGGGGTTCCCTCCCACCTTTCAATTATTAATATAAATAATTTTAATAGATATTCTAAAATCAAACCATACTTGCACTCCTGAAAGGCACCTGTTTGTTATCTCGTATTATTCTTTTAAAATACTGGCTTCTTTTTAAAGTACTGGATTCTACTGGCTAGTGTTTTATTTAGGAATTTTTCATCATTGCTTTTTTTACACAATCAAGTGCCTAAAAATAACCAAAACAGTAACTTTTTAAAAAATGGATCAAGAAGATGTGGTTTATCTATACAATGGAATGCTACATGGCAATGAGAAAGAATGAAATCTGGCCATTTGTAGCAACATGGATGGAACTTGAGGGTGTTATACTGACCGAAATAAGTCAGGCAGAGGACGACAGATACCATACGTTTGCACGTACAGGCTGATTAGGAGGAACCGAACAGAGGACCATGGGGGAGGAAAAGGGGAAAAATAGATGGGGAGAGGGAGGGAGGCAAACCATGAGAGACTCTTGAATGCTGAGAACAAACTGAGGGCTGATAGGGGTGAGGGAGGGGAAGGGGGTGATGGGAATGGAGGAGGGCACTTCTGGGGATGAGCACTGGGTGTTATATGGAAACCAACTTGACAATAAACTATTTAAGGGGGGGAAGAAGGTTGAACGAGTAATTTACACCATTACCCAATCAACAAAATACCTACAGTGATTAAAATAAGATAGTCTACACATTAATTTTTAAGATATACTGTTAATTTTAAAACAGTAAACAAAGAACAGCATATGCAGCACAATTTTTTTCAATAAACATGCATGATTAAGAATAATAAAGTTAAATCTAGAAAGATAAATTTCATACCATTAGTAATAATGTTACTTCTGAGTAACAGACCTTAGCAATTTAAAATTTTTTCTCTGAGTACTTTTATAATAAAGTAGGTATTACTTGTCAACTTTTATAATTTATTCCTTTAAAACAATGCTCTAACTTGGCCTACTTTTTTTTGGCTACTAGTTCTTGAACTTTTGGCTTGGGGATCCTTTTACTCTCTTAATAAGAATCTCAAAGAATTTTTATGTATATGTTATATTTATTAATATTTATTGTAGTAGAAATGAAAGCAGACATTTTTAAAACAAGGATACACCAATATACACTATACCACCATCAGAGAGCACCGACACCACTGTCAGATAACGCTGTTAAACACCACTATCTACTCCTGAAAGAATGAGAGCAGAAAAAGGACAAATTGTGTCCTGGTATTATTATATAAATAGCTTTGACTTTATGAACCTCTTTGAAAAGTCTCAGGAATCCCCAAGTATCTCTGGGCCATACTTTGAGAACTTGCTTTTTATCTTCTTCAGTGCCATCTTCACCTCTCCTGTCACTGCCTTAGAATTTCCACAACATAGAGAACTGAAAACATTCACTGCTGTGGAAGTTGTTGATCCTAAATTTAATCCTACTCTAGTGTCTCACAAGAGTTAATGAGCATTTCCCAAATTAAAAAGGCATGTATTACCAACTGGCCAAATCTGATCAATTTCCTAATACTGATTATGGTGGGTTAATAAAAGAAGTTTTGAATGTATTAAATTCTATTTAGTCAGATGTTTGATGGATAAGAGGCACCTGGGTGGCTTAGTTGGTTGAACATCTGACTCTTGATTTTGGCTCAGATAATGATCCCAACGTCATGGGATTGAGCCCCAACTGGGGCTCCACACTAAGTACAGAGGCTGTTAAGATTCTTTCTTTTCCTCTCTCCCCCTCTGCCCCGCTCCCCACTAGCACACAGTCTCTCTCTAATAAAATAACAAAATAAAATATTCTACGTAATCAGATAATAGTGTTATTTTATTAATGAAATTGATCCCAAACAATTCAACACTTTTTTTGATTAGTAAATATTTTTAAGTTTTAAATGCCAGTTAACGGTGCATTATTAGTTTCAGGTGTACAATACAGTGATTCAATAGTTCATACAACACCTGGTGCTCATCATATCAAATACAGTCCTTAATAACCATCACCTATTTCTCCCATCCTCCACCGACCTCCTTTCTGGTAACCATCAGTTTGTTCTCTATAGTTAAGAGTCTGTTTCATGGGGCACCTGGGTGTCTCAGTCAGTTGAGTGTCCAACTTCAAATGAGGTCTTGATATCACGGTAAGTTCGAAACCCACATTGGGCTCACTGCTCTCAGTGCAGATCCTGCTTCGGATCCTCTGTCCCCCTCTATCTCT